CAAGCGCGAGCTGCCCCAGGACGACGAAGCCCAAGGGGAGCCCGAAGCCGATGCACACGTTCGGAAAAAGCGCAGGTCCAACCGACAACCGGGAGGTACCAGGACGATGGCCAACGGCATCAATGGCAAGCCAAAGACCGCCACGCCGTCGAAGCGGCGCACCCGGGGCAATTCGCAGAGCAGCACCTCGTCGCTCTCCAGCGCGCAGTCGGTGACGCCGCCTGCGAGCATTCAGCCGGACGACGCAGATGAGGAGCTTCCCGACGCCACACCCTCGCGCCAGAGCCCGACTCCCGAAGTCCGACCCGCAAGCCCGGTTGCTGACGAGGCCAGCACAACTCTCCCTGTCCCCAAGGCCCCGGGCAGGAAGGGACGTCGATCAGTCGCCACGCGAAAGAGCATCAATGGCAATGTTTCTGCCGTCAAGCGCAGCGGGCGGGCGTCGAAATCTTCGTCGACCACCCCGGCCACCTCCAAGCAGCCTACTCCGGCTCTGGAGATTGATGACGCCAACCCTGCAGGGCGGCCTTTCGTAATGCCCGAGCCCCTCAACGAACCGCTCTATCCCCACCACGCAAATCCGAAGAGGGGCGGCAAAGGAGCAAACGGCGGCATCCCCTTCCCCAGCAAAGTTGGTCGCATTGACGACAACGACGAAAAATGGCAGCTTCGGCAGACGGCAAGGGCCATCACCAACAGCTACAGGGCTGAGGCCGGCGACGAGCTGAGTTTTGTGCGCCCGACGCCTGAGCCGGAGCCCGAGCCTGTGCCGGAGCCCGACCTTGAGCAGGCACAGGAGCAGGCAGAGGCGATGACCCCTCCGCCGCCTTCCTCATCACGGGCGCGCACCTCGCTGCCGACTGTCCGCCCTGGCACAACGGCAGCCAACGCACGAAGCACGCGCTCGTCGCGCAAGAGGTCACACGACGATCTCGAGGAGCAGCCGTCGCCCACGGTGGTCAATTTCGGCCCCCCCGAGGCTGGCCCCGGCACTGCAGCGACATCGCGCGCGGGCACGCCGCTGCTCCGGCCAGCGAAGAAGCCCAGAACCGGCCTCCGTGTCAAGAATTCGTAAGTGCATTCCGGCCTGCGTGTCCCGGTGGTGCATGCTAATTGTGTATTTCTAGGCCTATGAAGCGAAAGTCCGGCACGTCGGCGGGTATCCCTCGGGCCAGCGGTGAGCGCAGCAGCCCTGGTGCCCCTGCCAGAGACAAGGAAGTAAGAAGCAACCCTCTCCTCCTCTCCCCTTCTCCCTTGTTCCGCGCCTCGACTCCTTGTTGGGTCGCGATGTGTTTTTCCTTTTTCCCTTTTCCTTTTGTTTCTTTGATGTCGCTTCCGACCAAGCCCCCGTGATTCCAACCACCGCTCAGAGGGAGACACGCAAGTGCGTTTGTCCCCTCCCTCTCTTCGGATGGCCGGGGGTGGCCGGGGGATTGGTTGGCCTCGGGGCGTCAGCACGGTGGGCGCTGGGCTGGGGTTGTGTCGCGGCGCGCATCCATGCGGCAGCACCAGCACCAGCCCAGCCCAGCACTTCCTTGTCAAGGGGGTGGGGGCCTGGCACGCCCGCCCGGGCCTCGGGAGCTTGGCTAGTGGCCAGCGGCGCGACGGGCCATCCATTCCCTTTTTTGCCGAAATATGGCGCACAAAACCACGTCGGTTTCGCTGATTGATGCTTGATGCTTGATGGGCTCCTGATCTGATTGCTGACTTGGCGCGCCGCAGGACGACAATGATGATTACTGCTCGTCGTGCTCGGGCAGCGGAGAACTGATCTGCTGCGACGGATGCACGCGCTCATTCCACTTTAGCTGCGTAGACCCGCCCCTGAACCGCGATTCGATGCCGGGCGAGTGGTTCTGCAACGTGTGCCGCACCGAGCGAGAGCTTCTGGCCCCCGAGCCTGCAGACGCAGCCACTGCCCCCCCTCGCTTCAGCTTCAGGCCGCTGGTCGAGAAACTCGATGCCAGGAACTCCAGCGCCTTCCGCCTGCCCATCACCGTCCGCGATAGGTTCGAGGGCGTCCGGACTGGCACCGACGGCGAGTACGAGGAGGTGGTCCCCGTCACCAAGGGCGCGCGCAAGAAGAAGAGCGACGATGAAGTACCTGACCTCTACCGTCTTCGCGACGGCGATGGCAACGCCGTCATCTGCCACGCCTGCCAGCAGTCGAGCGGTTCTACCCGCGCCATCATCCCATGCGGTCTCTGCGGAATGCATTGGCATCTCGACTGCCTGGATCCCCCCATGGCCAACCCCCCTTCTTTGAAGACATGGAAGTGCCCTTGCCACATTGAGGATCTTCTCGGCAAGGTATCTGGTCCCGCCCACAAGTACCGCAAGATCAAGGCGTCGACCATCGTCGAGCCCCTCTTCAGCCGAGGCTACATCAACAACGGCTACATCGAGGTCGATGTGGAAAGCGAGGACGAGAATGTCTGGCGGGATGTCGAGACCTATGGTCGGGTGGTTAGGCTGCCGGAGAAGGGCATCAAGCTCGACTTCCTTTCTCGGTATGTACCACTGATTTTTGGCATGGGCTGTGAGGCTAATCATTTTTCCAGTGCACGCGAAAACCGCAAGGGCAAGCCCATTCCGCCGCTCAATGCCGTGGCTGAACCGGCGCCCCAATTGCTGAGCAAGCCTTCTCTTGAGCATCAACAAGCTGCCTACAATCTTGCGCAGCTGAGCGGCCGGGGCACCTCGAGTATTGACACGCTGGTCGACACATTGATTGCGGAGGCGCAGCCTGAAGTCGTCAGCATGATGGCCCGTGTGGACAGCCATCACGTCACCAGCAAGGACGCCTTGAACAACATGGACAAGCAAGGTCTGCGTGCCATGCTCGCGCAGATGGAGCAGATGCGCGAGCATGTTCGCGACCTTCTCGGAGAGAAGACACCCGAAGCCTCCTCACCGCAGCCTGCTGCCAGCAGCGCCCAGGAGCAAGCGGCTCGTGTGCCCAGCCTGACGCACTCTCAGACGACCAGGGCTGAGTCGGAGAACCCCGCAATCGAGCAACCCACCCCCCGCAGCCCCAACCTGGAGGCAGCTGGCTCCCTCAAGAGCAAGAACCTGCCATCCCCTGCTGCTACGGAGGATGTGCTGGCCCTCAAAGGAGGCAGCGATAGCCAACGTCAGAGTCGGTCGCCTTCAGAGGAGAATGCCGCCGCTGGGAGCAAGACAGCTCAGCTCCCCGCGACTCCCACCGACGTCAAGGTTGACGACATCCTCCTCAAGGATGACAAGACCGCCGTCCAGATTGATGACGACGCCATGGATCTCTATTAACCGACCAAAAACGACGTGCGCAGAGCGACGATGACCGAGCCGAGCTGCCAAGGAAGAGACGAGGTTAGGCGCTCTAGTTGAGGCCGCAAGATGTGCTTCCTTTGCCTGCAGGGGAGCTGCAAGCAAACGGCAAACTCGACAATCGGCATCGCGCCTGGACGACGTGGTCCAGAGCAATGCCTTCAACGATCCCACGACTTGGCTTTCGCAAACTTGACTGAATACCGTGTACGATACATAACCACGACGGGGCGACATCCGACAATACCGGACAAGCGCCACGAGAGAGCCACACCACCCGGCTGTCGAGCGGGAATCACGTGTTCGCAACAGGCCTCAAGGGATCCTCAATGGACAGTCGACCGACAGCGACAAAATAGGCGCCACCCCCCCTTTGTCCATAACCGCCCTTTGTCCATAACTTCTTCCCATCAGAGGACCGATTCACGACATGACGGCCTCACAAAAGATCCGACGGAAACAAATGCCCCCTCCGGACGACCCTGTTTTCATCGAGAGGCATCACGACGATAACCTCGACTTATTCAGCCGGCTCATCCATCCGGCAAACCCGAGTCCCGATATTCCACCGCCCAAGTCGAACAGCAGACTGTCCTCATCATGGGGGACGAGACGGAAGAAAGAATGACGGACGGACGGAAGGAATAAGGTCAGGGGCGGATGGATAGGGCTGAAATGGGGACTCGGGCCGGGAGAGAAGGAGCATGGAGAGAGAGAATGAGCATGGAGCAGAGAGAGGAGAGGAAGAGACATCCGGACACATCATCCGCGATGATTCAATTTTTGAAAGCCGCCACAGCGACAACCGCCGCCGCCGCGACGCGCCCACTGCAGCCTCATTTTATTACATTTTATTTTATCACACAGTGTGGTCGGTTGGTCTCGGGTCTAGAATAAGGGTTGGGCGCTTTTGTTTCGGGCTTGGGCAAGAAGAGCGACAGCAGCGGGCAGGCGGGCAGGCGGGCAGGCAGGCAGGCAGGCGGGCAGGCAGGCAGGCAGGCATTATAGCAATATTCTTTTTTTCTTTACAGCGGTCTCTTTGTTCTCGGCATTCTGGGGCATGTGTGTGTATATTTTGGGCAATGTGTGTCTGTGTACATATTCAACCGGTTCTTTGCTCTGTCTTGGGTTGGGGAGGGTGTGGTTGCAGTTTGTGATACCACGCAATGATGCGGACATTGGTCTCGTCTTGCTTTTTTCGTTGGTCTCGTTGGTTTCTGAGGTTGGGGCGGTGATTGCTGGTTGGGGAGGTGGTATCGTACTTGTTTAGGTACATAGACCGAATAACTTGGACGCCGGCTGAGTGCTCTTTGATCCTGTGGTGCATGGAAGGTTGAGATGGTGGTGTTTGCCTGAAGATGGGACGGAGTATCTGTCTGGTATATCAGGATTCCCGAAGGCACAGATCCTCGCTAAAGCGGAGGAATGATACCTCTTCACATAATCATTGGAAACTTTGCAAGAGACATTGACCACAGGAAAAGCAAACATTGAGAGACGAGGAATGTCGAAAAGGGGGAGGGGACCCGAGCAAGCAGGTGGGTTGCCACTCTCATCTCCCCGAGCCCTCCCGAATCGCGAACGGGGAACGAGGTTGCCCTGGCAGCAAAGTAAGGAGGAGGAAAAAAGAAAAAAGAACATGTTGCCTTCCTTGAAGGCAAGATACCAATGTCAAAAAACGGCAAAAGAAAAGGTCGTACCCGGACTCGAACCGGGGTCACCGGAAATTCAGACGAGCGAACATCAGAATCCGATGTGATAACCAACTACACTATACAACCGTGGGAGCATGGCTTGATTTTACCATCTATGACTGGTTGCACCGGTACCGGCTGCCCCCTTTTCACGATCTCCAGCTTTCGGATTAGCAAGAACAACATTGCCGTGGTTGCCTCTGCTCTAGGCCCCCCCAGAATTTCTTCCCCTCTTCCTTCTTGACTGTCTTCTTGACTTCGTCCCGGGAAAGCTTGCCCCTATACAAGATACAAATCGCGGGCGAGCACTTAATAGAGTCAGCAGCCCCTTTCTTAGCGTATCCTGACATGTGTAACTCGATCTCGATAGACTCCAAGGTAGACAGTTGCTCGTCAAGTTCGGGGATACGGCGTCTCGTATTGTAAAGGTCGATCCATAGTCGGCGCCTTATTATCCCAAACCAGTTACGGTGGGCTTCGCGACTTCCTCGCACGTATACGGGCTCAGAGAGAGAGCTACACCCCGCACAAGGTTGACACTCCGGCAGACAACAAGAGGGACACGTCTCCTTCTGAATACGGCATCTTCACAATCCCCGAGCGGCTTGACAACATGGACCCGAGCAAGCGCAGGCTCCTGTACGAGGCCTCAACACGAGAGATGTACACGGAGCTTACAGCCATCAGAGAGGTGCTGTCAGAGGACTCCATCCTGGCAATGATGCTTTTGGGGGAGCGCATCAGCGCGTCGTAGACCTCATCGCTGTTGATGTAGTGAGGGAAACCATCGGGGTAGTAATTCTCGAGAGCGAACTTCATGAGGAGGTAAGCCGGGGTTGCCTTGATGTCGGCCTCCTCGTACAAGAGGTCGCTTTCCTTCTGGGGGCCGCCCATTGCGAGTGTACGCGCGTGCGTACAGCTGGTCGCTGAAAAAAGAATGCCAATTGCTGTACAGCGTGCAGGTGAAATGATTCTGAGGTTTTTGAAAGAGTGCGATGTGGTTGCGCGCTGCGGTAAACAGACATAGCCGATCCCCGTCGTCCTGGTCCAGAGTAAGCCATGTGTAGCTAATTCCTCCGTCCCAGGTGTTATTGCAGATGTTTCGGATCATCTCGGCGGGTAGCGCTGTGGCCCTCTTGCCCTTGTCTTTGTCTGCCTGCGTCTGGACCGGCCAGATCTGCTTCCTGTCGCCGAAGCGCCAGATCTGACTCCCGAGTGCGGTAAGGGGAAGAGTCCCGAGTGCGGTCAGCGGAAGGGTTTGTGTTTTCTATTCGCCACTACGGGGGATGGGGGGAGGATGCGACGTAGTGGTATGTCGGTAGACGGGTTGGAGATGTCAGGGGTTGTCATGCTGGGAGGGTGCGCTTCAAGCTTCCGGTCTTCTGTTGGTGCTTTAAAGGACGAGCGGAAAGGGACGAGTGTCGAGCGGAAACATCGGGCTATGGACCGCAGAAATGGCATAGGGACTCGACGACTGGGCACCTCTTCATAGTCGGGGAAAGTCTCCTGAGCTTTACCTCAGGGAAGTCTTCTGAGCTCCGTCCCAGCGAAGACTCGTGAGCTCCATCCCAAGGAGCTTATACGTCATACTCGTTGGGACTAGAATCGTCTCAACGAGTAGTACTCTTGGGAAATTAGGATAAGGTCGTAGAGTTTCTGTACACGTCCCGTCCGGACGGTCTTCTGTTAGTGCTTCGAGGACGAGCGAAAGCGAGCTGTAGACGCTTCTGAGACTAATTTACTCCGACAAAATGTTTTACTTTTGACCTGGGAATAAGAAATCCAGGCATGATCACCCTGCCCAAGACACGAATCAAAACCAACGGGACATGAAAACCATCGCTTCCTACAAACAACAGCAGCGTTTTCCATTCCATTTCCACCACCTCCCAGTGAATAAACTAGGTACAAATCCGATCCGCTGCTCGTCTCTCTCTCCAAAAAGACCCCTCCCCGCCCAACCCCGTCCCTCAACTGCCGATTAAGCAGCGAGGCGAAACCAACCACCACGACGGCAACAACCGCTGAGAGGGCACAAACACACCGAAAGACACAGAGATACCAAAAAGAGAGAGAGGTGCACCGCTACAGTACTCAAACCCTTCCATCATCCATCCATCGACACCCGTCGTACCATCGTGTGTGCATATTACACACACGATCCTTCACTCCTCTTCGTCAACATCCATCCCATCATCATCGTCAGCTGGCGTCGCCTCCTTTCTCCTTGCACTCCCTCTTGTCGGGCGCGTCCTTGTCGCCGGCGGTGGCGGGGGCTGCTTGGCTTTCGGCGCCGCCTTGGGTTTTGGTTTCGCCGCTGGTGCCTTTGCCTTTCGTCCGTTCGCGGCCGCGGCTCTTCCTCCGCGCCGCGTATTGGTAGGCGGAGACGGTACTTCCTCGTCATCCGATCCCTCTCCCTCTCCCTCTTCCACCTCAACCTCCGCCACCTCTTCCACCTCAACCTCCGACAGCTCAGAAGACAGCTCGCTATCCGAAGCCGGGACTTCTTCCGTCTTCTTCTTGGCCGGTGCCGTCGCTTTGGTCTTCTTGGCTGCCGGCGGGGAACTGGATTTGGGAACCTCTTCTTCCGCCTCATCTTCCTTGCCAGTATCTTCGTCCTCCTTCTCGCTGGCGGGCGCGGCGTCACTGTCGACGTCATCCGACCCGTCCTCGCTGCCTTCGGAGTCGTCCCCGTACTTCCACTCGGCCACGCCGTTGAGCATCTCCTCGTCATCCTCGCTCGAGTCGCGCTCCATATATGACTTGTCACCACGGGCGCGGCCGCTGCGGCGGCGGTCGGCGCGTTCTTCGGCCGTCAGCTCCTTTCTTGGCTTTTTGGACTTGGAGGATGCCGGCTTCTTTCGGGGTGTGGCCGATGTCTTTTTGCTCGTGGACTTTGGCTCCTTGGGCTCCTTGGGACGCGAGGGAAGTTTGGCCTTTTTGGAGGGTGGGTTGCCGTCGCGGTCGTCCGAAGTTTTGCGCTTCTGCAGGAGGTGGTTAGTTCGCAAACCTAAAAAGGTGGGATGGAAGTGGGCATACCTTTTTGCGGTCCATGGCTTTAAAGAGCTCGTCGAGCTTTTCGTCAAGACCCTCGGGAGTGTATTGCTTCTCCGCGGCCGTTTGGGCTTCGTTGTGCGACTGAAGCGCAATGTACAAGCCCATCGGAATCCCGACCTTGCCAGGGTAGGCGCTAAAGATCCAGTTGTTCCTCTCCTGCCACTTGCGGATGACTGCTTGCGCCAGATCGCAGAGGACGCGGTGTCGGTCGCTCGTTGGGTCCAAGGCGTCCTGCGTCTGCTTGACGCGCTCGGCATACTTGGTGATCAAACCCAGGTTGGCCTCGGTGGCCACGAGACTGAGGTAAAAGTGAAGATAGCGCGCGTGGTCGACCAGCATGTCCAGCTCGGGGCGGTAGTCCGGGTGGTGGGCGAGCAGCGACAGCAGACGCGGCATGACGGCTTCGAGGACGGGCTGCTTGTTCTGCTCAAAGTGGCGCGCCCGCGACCGGATCCATGTCTCCATGCGCTTCTTAAAGTCCGAGCTAGGCTCGAAGGCCAGCAAAAAGACAATCGTGTAGTACCGGGACCGCAGCTTGCCTTCGGCGAGATACTTTTGCAGCTTCCTGATAAAGGCGTGGCGGACCTCTTGGACCACGTCCTGGCTCACCAGGGCAAGCGTGTTGAATCCCTCGGGCGTGAGGATCTCGTCAAAGTGCTTCTGGGTGCACATCTTGAGGAGGAGCTGGGCAGCCAGCAGCCTCAGACGCGACCGGTGGTGCTTGGGCGTATCCTTGGTCTTGCAGAGCTCGCCCTCGTCCTTGATCAGCTTCATGAGCATCTTCCACACGGGCTTGGCCTTGGTCTTGGCCTCCTCGGTGTCCTCAATGCTTCGCAGTCGGTTGATGAGAATTCTAAGGGAGAGACACTTGGCCTGGATCTCCTGATCCAGGGCGGCGTCGTCCACCCAGTCGGGATCTTGCTCGCTGTAGTCGGCACGGACCTCGAGGAGCGTTTGCTGGACTGCCATGTTGAGGACCTGTTCTTCGTACTCCTCCGTAACCTTGGGCGCAAGGAGCTCCAGCTGGCTCACGGTTGTAAGCTTGTTGAGCAAGTGAGGGGAGTCGTAGGTCCAGTCCTTGACCGTCCGCTTGAGGAGATCCGTCGCGCTGACCATGCTCTTGTTGTCCTTCTTGGACAGCAGGATGTTGACGGCATACTTGGCGACTCGGGCCGGTCGGCCGTACAGGGAGTAGTTGATCATGGTCTGGACGAACGCCCGGTCCATCGGGACGTCCTTGGGGTACTTTCGCGCGTACGTCGAGCAGGCCTTGAGCGTCTCGGCCACAATCGGGTCGTTCTCTTTGGAAGCAGTGGGTGCCTGATCCACCAAATCTTTGCAAAGCTGCCCGATGTGCGTCTTGAAAAGATCAGGGTTCCGCTGCGAGAGCTCGTTTAGGACCTCGTGCGCAACGGTGCCCAGCCCGTGCTTGTCGGAACGCGAGAACTCCATAATGGTGGCCAGGTGACTGCGGTTGAACATGAAGCAGCCTGACCTGTACAACAGCGGCAAGAAGGTCTCCAAGAGACTCGATTCCTTACCTCCCGCCATTCTCTTCTGAAACTCCTTGAGGGCGTTGTGCGCCGTCTTGAAATCATGCTCTTGGCTGATGATGTACTTGACCAGGTTGTAGTTGCGCCGGTCGTTCATCTTGGCAAACCGAATAAAATCAGCCTTTGCCTTTTCGCGGTCGGGCAGGAATTGCGCCAGGTAGTGCGCCGTGCTGTGAAGCAGCTTGGTCTTCTGTTCTGCTTCTTCGTCCATGACGCCCCCGTTGTACGAGTCGCATGCCTTGATCAGCGCCAAGACGCCGTTCGCATACTGTGGTTGTCTGGCCTGCATGGTGAAGAAAGCCCTCTTGGCGCCTTCGCCATCTTCACCATCGGTAGCCATGGACCGCACCATAAGAAGGATCCTCTCTGCTCGGAGGGCGTCACCATCCACGACGGCAGCACCAGTAGCCTGCGAGTTGCCGTTGGCGGCGGCATTCTTGGGCGCCTTCTTCAGGGGCGGGTATATGAGAGGAACTA